CAGCAGCGCTCCCGCCGTGGGTTCGGATCCTATATAGGGATGACGGGTGCGCTCACAGCGCTCACTGGCTGAGCGCGGTGCGGCCGGTCTCAAAAAAGACAAAAAAAAAAAAAGTCATACATGCACATGGTAAAAAATCAAAGGGATCAAAAGGGTATACAGTGAGGACTGCCCTTCCCACCTCTCTGTGCCAGATCTCCCACTGTGGGGCTCTCATATGTAGGTGCTTATCCAAGGTCTCCTGAATCAGGTGCTCACAGTGGTGTCCACATGTCACCCTGGCTAAGTGTGCAGGGTGATGCAGTGCAGGTGCAGCCAGGACACATGGTTGAACTGACCGTGTTGCCTCAGAGAAGGAGCAGGTATCAAGGAAAGCTTCATGGAGAAAATGGCTTTTGAATTTCACCTGGATGGGTAGGGAATGGGTGGTGTGGAAGCCAACAGTGGAAAATAAACATGGAGTAGAAGTCAGGCCATCTCACCCAAGGCACTATACACCAGGTGAAAAGTTTGCATATCATGGGCCTTTGCTAGTGAAGAGTTGGCCTTCAGCAATGAACAGTTCAGAGCACCCAAAAGAAGCATTCCTGGCTTTTTTCCCCAAAGTAAAAATGGTTTTTCCCTTATTTGAACTACTGAGTACTACTTATTTGCTATTTACCTCTCTGCCTTGTTAGTTGTCTTTCATATTCTCCACATTCTCTCTCTAACAAAACTAAGCTTTTTCTCCTGTATTTCCCATAATGCCTTGCACAGTTGACAGATTTGGTCACTAGAGGTGATCCTTCACTTTCTCAGCTGGCCCTTGCTTTAGGATGAGGCATATCATGGTGGATGATGCAGACCACTGGGGTTATCAAGGTGGTCTCTTTTTTTGCTTAAAGTAAAAGGAGCATGATTCTGGGGAGAGGGGCAGGCTCCCTGTGAGCAAGTCAGCAAGCACACACCAACTGATACATACCCAATCCTGCAGTGCATGCTGGAGGGGATGCACATGCCAACTGTTACATACCCAGTCCTCCAGTGCATGCTGGAAGGGATGCACGAGTGCGATGAGACAGCCCCAGCCCCTGGCTGGGGAAAGATGACACGGGCAGGGGATGGGAAGGCACCGTGAGACCAGTTGTGGGTACAAAAGTTGCAGACAGGCTTGCTGGGGAGCTGGTCCTTGGGAGGTCACTGCCTCAAGGAGAAGGGGCTTAAAGCACTGCTTGCTTTGACGTGGAGACCACAGCTTAGATGGGACAGCCTTTTCCCTTGGAAAGCACTCAGAGTCACTGACTTGCCAAGCCCCCTCTGAAGATTGGGGGTGGGGAGGATAGAAAGGGATGCGTTTGTGGAAGAAGCTCTCATCCAGATATGGCCCGTTGATGACAGCAGTATAGTCAGCGCTCAGTAAAATGTTTTTGTTTTTTTTTTAAAAAGATGACCGGTAAGGGGATCTTAACCCTTGACTTGGTGTTGTCAGCACCACGCTCAGCCAGTGAGCCAACCGGCCATCCCTATATGGGATCCGAACCCGGGGCCTTGGTGTTATCAGCACCGCACTCTACCGAGTGAGCCACGGGCCGGCCCAGTAAAATGTTTTGAATGAACAAATGACCCATCGGCAAAGGTCAGGTATATGTGTGTATATGTTTGTTCATTCATTCACTCAAGGAAAAACATTAATTGGGAACTAACTGTGTACCTAGTTCTGTGCTCAGAGCTGAGAATGTAGGAATGAATCAATCCTACTTTCTGCTTTTCCACTATGTTGTCCCAAACACATGAGGGCAGTAATGTGTTGTTGAGTGTGGGCTGCACTGTGCTGGCTGTAGAGGAAGGGAATGTGTTGGGGAAAATGAGGGGGGCCCAGCCCAGGCCTCACCCTGTGCTGTCAGTGTCAGGATGTATTCCAGCCCTTGAGCTGTTAGGTGAAGGATCTGTATAGTTGAGGACTACTGTGTCAGCTTTTCCCGATGGCTGCTCTCTGCCCTCTTGAGATGCTCCCTCTCCTGGTGTACGTGGAAATAGAACTGCTCTGTCTTAGTCTGTCACCACCACACCTAGGTTAGGACTGGTTCTCCCTGAGCTAGCAGTGCCCTGCAGCTAGAAAAGCCTTACACCATACCTGTTCCCTACCCCAGGCAGGACAGGAGATGCTCCCTCTCCTGGTGTACGTGGAAATAGCACTGCTCTGTCTTAGTCTGTCACCACCACACCTAGGTTAGGACTGGTTCTCCCTGAGCCAGCAGTGCCCTGCAGCTAGAAAAGCCTTACACCATACCTGTTCCCTACCCCAGGCAGGACAGCGCCGAAGTCACAGTGAACAAAATGAACCTCCTACTCCCTCACTCATGGCCTACCACCGTGGCTCTCTGTAGAACAGCTCATAGGCATCTCGGTCATTGTCCCTTGTTGGGTCAGAGGGGTGTGAATTGCTGCTGAGGTGCCATGAAAGCATTTCAGAGCCACAGCCAATTAGGGTCAGTGGGAATTGGACACAGGACACATGGACACATGAGGAAACTCAGTTCTCTGGCCCTGAGTCTTGTATGTGCCAGAGGGCTGGGAGGTAGAGGGGAGAGTAGGTTGCCAGGGGATCTCTGCAGAGCCTATAAAGAGCATAGACTGGACACTAGATTCAAGGCCCAGCTCTGGCACTAGTGAGTCTATGTGACTCTGGGCAAGTTGCTTGACCTCTCTGGGTCTGTTGAGTTTCCTTGGTTTGAAATTGGTCTTGTAAATCCTACCATCTTGACTTACTGGCACTTTGGTGGTGAGAAGTGGTGCACCCCCCGGGAGCTGTGTGTCTTCCCTCAATGTTCTAGGGAATCAGGGCCAAGGTGATCCTGGCAGGACTGGAGGGCTCATCTACTGCCTCCTGACATAGTGTGGGGGGATTCCACTACGCCTTCCCTGTCCTCTGCTTACTTTGAAGAGAGAGAGCAGGGAGGTGGGTGGGAGGATCCTTCCCATGGCCACAGAGGCCTGCGTTCTGATGTCATTGCAGATGGTGGAGAGCATGAAGTACCCCTTTCGGCAGGGTATGCGACTGGAGGTGGTGGACAAGTCCCAAGTGTCACGGACACGCATGGCTGTTGTGGACACGGTAATCGGGGGTCGCCTACGGCTCCTCTACGAGGATGGCGACAGTGACGATGACTTCTGGTGCCATATGTGGAGCCCCCTGATCCACCCAGTGGGTTGGTCACGGCGTGTTGGCCATGGCATCAAGATGTCAGGTTAGCAGAGCCCCAGGCCAGAGTGACCCCAGGCTCTGCTTCCCCAGGCGTTGGGTGGGAGCACCTTGTCTACATCCCACAATAGTGTAGGGAGGTAGAGACTATCGTCTCTAGCCTGCGAATGGTACTGAGGTCCAGATAGGTTGAGTGACTTGACCAAGTCAATTGGCTCAACTTAGAAGTGATAAAATCAAGATTTGAACCCAAATGCTACCGACCCCGGTCCTCTCCCTTGTCCTGAAGGGAGAGTCTGGGTTTTAAGGGCTGAAAGTACCTACAGAGAGCTCTTGACACTTTCTGGGCTAGACCCATCTATCTGCTAGTCTGGGGTGGGGGCTGCTGAGATACAGCTGGAACATATGCTTAGCAGTCCCCACATTGCTGGGGGAGGCGTGGAGATGGCCCTGTTAGCTGCCTTCACTTCCCTTCTTTTCCTCACTGCCTCTACCATCTTCTCAAAAGAGAGGCGAAGCGACATGGCCCATCACCCGACCTTCCGGAAAATCTACTGTGATGCCGTTCCTTACCTTTTCAAGAAGGTGAGGACCCTGGCTCTCCCCTTTCTCTCTCCGTTTCCTTCCCAGGCCTATAGCATATGAAGCCTGCTTCCCCCACCCTTCCTCTGGGCCTGCCCCAAGATTCCCCAACTGCCCCATTCCTTTAAGGTACGAGCTGTCTACACAGAAGGCGGTTGGTTTGAGGAGGGGATGAAGCTGGAAGCCATTGACCCCCTGAATCTGGGCAACATCTGCGTGGCAACCATCTGCAAGGTGAGCTAGGGCTAGCCCCTCAGCCTCCAGCATGGTTTTCTGAGGGGAGCAATGTGGCTCAGAGCTCTGCTTTCTACCATCAGGGGCTCTTGGGTCCGAGGGGATGTCCATCACACCTTCCCAACACTGGCTGCTCCTGGAGTACCTGACTTGTGTGTGTAGGGGCCTTTCCTGCTCCTTGCTCAGAATCTGCTTTCATGTCAGGGTCCGAGGCACATCTGTCAGGTGCTTACTGAACACCTGAGCTTGGTCCTGTGTCAGGTGTGGTCCCTGCCCTGTCATCTCACTGGAGCCCTTCCTGCATCTACTTTCCATGCTGTCCTTGCCAAGAGCCACAGCAGTCTAACTTTGCTCCAAACCTCTTCCCTTACTGCCACAGCTTGAGGCACAAACCACCACCCCTCTGCCTTCCTGGAGGACACTGCTGATTTGTCTATTCAGCAAATCTCCACGGCAGGCCATGTGCTCACCTCTGAGAACACGGTGGCAATAAGCAGACATAGTCCCTACTGGCACAGTGCCTGCTGTCTAGTGGGAAAGAGAAATAATCTCACAAGTATGCATTATGGGGGTGCTAAGTGCTCTGGAGAGAAAGCTCAGCATGTTCTCTGGGAAGGCCGAGCTCTAGATCTAGCTGGATCTGTCTTGTGTCCACATCATAGCCACCTTACCCTGGGGTGGGGCTGCCATTCACAATAAGTGCTAAGATGTTCTCGGCTCCACCCCTCCACTAGGTTCTCCTGGACGGCTACCTGATGATCTGTGTGGATGGGGGGCCCTCCACAGATGGCTCAGACTGGTTCTGTTACCACGCCTCCTCCCATGCCATCTTCCCAGCCACCTTCTGCCAAAAGAATGACATTGAGCTCACACCACCAAAAGGTAAGACTAGAGAGGACACTGTATGCTGACCTTGCAGTTGAAAGGGGAAGATTCCTGGTCAAGTTAGACCCCTGGGGCGTAGAGTTTCAGGGTATATGGGAGAGGTGACACACCCACCCAGGGCCACCACTAGCCCTTACACTGCTTGGGTTGACTCGGCCCTATGGCCGTTGTGTGGGTGGTGAATGGAGCTCCCACTTTTCCCTTTTGGCAGTGAACAACCTGTACAACAGGACTGTGGTCTTAGAGAGGACACCAACCCAGGGAGGAGGAGAGAAGGCTGCTAGGGAGACTCCAGTCTGGGTCCTGACTGAGCTGCACTGCCCTTTGGCAGAGTTTTCCTTTTCCCCTAACCCACATTCTGTTTCCTCACCCTCCACATCTAAACTTTCTGCTTCTCCAGGGTACGAGACACAGACTTTCAACTGGGAGACGTACTTGGAGAAGACTAAGTCAAAAGCAGCTCCGTCAAGACTCTTTAACATGGTGAGGAGACCGAGGACAGAGCAAGGGGCCTGTAGCAGCCTCAGGACTGGCCCTGCCTACTGCTGTCAGTGGTGATAATTCCAACCCCTTCTTTGAAGTCTCTACTGCTGAGATAAGCAAGCCACTTCCAGGGAAGAAGTTCCAGACTGTGCCATAGGCATAGGCACTCTGCTGAACCTCAGTTTAGCCAGTCCCTTTTCTATATAGGTTTCTATAGGGTTTGTGCTTAGGGAAGAGGTGCAGTAGGATTATTGTCTAGAGGACCCTTGCCCAGCAGGCATTCCAGCACCCCAGGGCCCCGGGTGAGCCTGCCAGGGCAGGGAAATGGCTGGCTTGACAACTGCCTTCTTCCCATCCCCCCAGGACTGTCCCAACCATGGCTTCAGGGTGGGCATGAAGCTGGAGGCCGTGGACCTGATGGAGCCCCGGCTCATCTGTGTGGCCACGGTGAAACGGGTGGTGCATCGGCTCCTCAGTATACACTTTGATGGCTGGGACAGCGAGTATGACCAGTGGGTGGACTGCGAGTCCCCGGACATCTACCCTGTTGGCTGGTGTGAGCTCACCGGCTACCAGCTCCAGCCACCCGTGGCCGCAGGTCTGGGCTCTCGCAGCCCTGAGGGGCTCTTGACTTTCCTGTTTCTTCTTTTTTCCTTCCTGCCAACCATTCCCCTCCCCCATGCCCACCTCAGTTCTTTGCATAAGATCAAGAAGTCTCATGGACGGACCACTCTAAGAGTGAGCCCTGTCTCCCACCGCCTGCTCCTGACTTCTCTGTCCCCCCCTCCCTCTGGCCTGCGGAGCTCCTTCCTTCATCTTGCCCACTCTGTCATATGTTCATGCCCTTGTACACCCAGGTAAACTACTCAGGTCCCTCTGAGCAGCCCTGGTGACAAGAGTGGGAAGAAGGCACACCTGGTCTACAGCCCCTCCCCCATCCTGTTATTGCCCAACTTTGGCTTCCCTTCTTGGGGTGTCCTGTGTGAGGATGGGCAGGGGTCTGGGGATGCGCCTCTGCTCTGTGTCCTCCCAGAACCCTCTTCTGATCTCTTTTGCCCTTGTCTTTCAACAACAGAACCGGCCACACCTCTGAAGGCCAAAGAGGCCACAAAGAAGAAAAAGAAACAGTTTGGGAAGAAAAGTAAGTGATGCTCCAAAGGAGCCAGGCTGGCATGGGGCCTAGGAGCAGCGGGGCCTGTGTCCCTGGGAGCAGAGGTGGAGTCAGTCCCGGGCACTGGTTCCCCAGGTGCTGTCCCACTTACGTGGCTTTCTTCATGGTCCTTCCCCATCTACCTTCCCTTGCCCTTTGGCCCCATGGGCCTTTCACCCGGTATCTTTGGGGACCCAGCACATAAATAGGGAGTATTCGGTCTTTGGCAATGGTCAGGATGCTGAGGAAAAGAGACATGAAATTGTATTGGGCGGGGTGTGGCAGGAATCCCATCCCTCTGCCCCATGGTCAGAAAACGGCCTGGCCTCCTGGGCAGTCCACAGCTGCCAGGTTCTAAAGTAAAAGGCCCAGGAAGAAGTCAAAGCTGTCTTTTCAAGGCTGTCATTCTTCCCTTGCGATCTCTTTGAGGGTGGGCACAAAGGCAGGCTGCTGAGTGGCCAGACCCGACCTAGCAGTTAGGGTCTGTCAGTATTGGTTCCATAGGCTGGGCCCCACTTGAGGGGCAGCAGGTTGGAGGGGGCAGAGAGGGGAGGCAAAGCCGCCCTTCAGAGCTGCAGGCCTGTCAGGGGAGGTGGGTTCTATGACATGGCACCACACAGAGAAGATGTCCTGAAACAGGACAAGGCAGGATTAAGCTTGTGGGAGGAGGCTCTGTGCCATTCAAAACAGTAGGGCCAGGAATGTCGCGTGTTACAGGTGAACAGATCAGAGATGGAAAAAGGAAACCAACAACCACAATTGCTCTGAGGCTTGGCTCTTGAGGGAGGTGCTGTTACTAATCCCCTGTTGGAGAGGATCTCTCTGACCTCAGGGCACACAGCCAGAGAGGACTGTTGTCAGTTGGAGACCAGGCCCTCTGTCCCCATACTGTCACTTTCCCCTCTGCCACGCTAACCACTGGATGAGATCTAGCCCTTTAGGCCTCTCAGTGATAGAACCCTAATGCTGGGTTTGATTCCATTTTTATTCAAAGGAAAAAGAATCCCACTGACCAAGATCCGGCCCCTCAGACAGGGGTCCAAGAAGCCCCTGCTGGAACACGACCCGCAGGCTGCGGGGAAGATCTCGGAGCCCGTTCCTGATGAGAGTAAGAGCCACCCGGCAGGGTCGAGGCACAATCGGCCTGCTCCGAGCTCAGAGGCTGCCTCTCTCCTTCCCCACCTGGGCACAGAAGAGTAGAGTCAAGTTTGAAGGGAATTTTCTGGGCACCAAGTAGTCCTTGAACCACTGGGCCCACAGAGCTTTCCAAACATCTGCCTCCCAACTGAATGGAACCGTCCCCTCCAGCCACGCGCCTTGCCCCTCTTCCTCCTCCTCATCATCTCTGTTCCCATTTCACGTGTGTACAGAGTGGGTGGTGGATGGGGAGATACCAGTGTCCTGGCACAGCCTGCCTGGCTGGGGTGTGCCTGGGGCCCTGAGCCTCCCCTGCTGCCCTCCTCCCACCCCATCCCCCGCCTCTGGGGGTGAGCAGGAGGGCGGAGGTGCTCCCTGCTTCCCTGCCAGGTCCCTTTACCAGATCCCAAGCCCCATCCTTCCCGGAGTCGCCCCTCACTCACTCTGCTTTCCCTGCCCACCTTCCTGCCTTCCCACCCTCTAGTCATTGCTGTGCGCGTGAAGGAAGAACATCTAGACATGGCCTCGCTTGACAAGGGTCCAAGTCCAGAGCTGCCTGTTCCCATTGAGAACATCAAGCAGGAGACAGACGACTGAGCCTTCCCACTGCTGCCAGCCTGGCCCCTAGCTGGAGGCCAGCCACGGGCTGTGGAGCGGAGGGGAGGCCCCCAGGCTTCTCTGTTGCCACCATCCCTCCCCCTACTTTAGTTTGGAGACTGAGCCTTTTTGATAAATTATGCCTGGTGCTGTGAAGGCTGGGCTCTGAAGGACCAGCCTAGGGTTTTCTTTGACCCGCCTTGTGCCTCTGCTCCCCTTTGGCAAGGCATTATGTGACTGGGGCTGCCTGTGGCCCCCAAACTTGTCTGTGAACAGCCTCTTCTCCAACCTGAGTTCCCGGAGGTGGAACCCTGGCTTCTGGGCTGTCTGCTCTTGCTTACCTCCCTCCACACCCCTCAAGTGCCAGGGGTGAGCGCTGCCCCAGTTACACTGGAAGACAAGACAATTAGTGGACTGTGTGTGTGTGTGTCTGTGTGTGTGCACGTGCGTCCCCCCACCCCCCAAGTGAGTCAATGTAAATAAAGTTCTGGAGCAGCTCTCTGAGCAGTATAACGTCCCCCTGTGTGTGTGCACGTGCGTCCCCCCACCCCCAAGTGAGTCAATGTAAATAAAGTTCTGGAGCAGCTCTCTGAGCAGTATAACGTCCCCTGGTTGACAGCAAGTGTTACGAGGGGAGCAGCCTGTACCTGAAAATCTGATCGAGTAGAATGCCTCTCTTGCCTCCTGAGTTGGTGCTCTGCTCCTCCTAGCACCCTAAGGATTTTGGGGACCCAGCTTTTAGAGGCAGCTGAAAAGCGGGGACCAGGATGTGGGTTTTGGTGACTTGTGAGGTGGCCTTGACCTGTTTTCTCTGTTGCCATGACCACTGACTCTCATTTCCTAAAAGGAACAGTGACGGGAAGCTTGCAGGGGCCTCTGCCCCTGGGACAGACTTGGTATGGGGGGCTCATGGCAGCAGGATGGGATAGTGAGCCCCGCCCATGTGATGGAGGCCCCACCACTGAGCCTCGCCTGCTCTGGACCTAGCTTGGGTGGGACCTGTCATTTTCATTCCCCTCTCCCTGTTAATCAGGGTCAGGAATGGCCTTGCCAGAGAGTCATGAGGCCTTGCACCAGGTGTGGTCAGGCGTGCTGGCTGAGGTGGCCCTGGGGAGGCTCTTTCACCCTTTCTCCCACTGGCTTGCCCGAGGGAGGGAAGAAGGGAGGGGTAATCTACACTTCCTGGCTGATTTTCCTCACTGTCCAAATCCTTAAGTCCTTATTTTCTCTCCCCACTCCTCTCGAACTATATTCTAGAAGTTCACCTAGTGCCTGCCCATATTTCACCTGCTTTTCTTTTTCCCGTTCTCCCTTGAAACTCTCCTTTCTGATGAGTCCTGTCTCCTCAGTGGCTCCTCTTCCTGGAACCCGAAGTGGAGGCTACTGCCATCCTCAGCCCTCTTTTCACCTCTGTTTTTGGATAGAGGTGGTGTGGTGCTGAGTAGGTCCCTATATCTTTCCTGCAAGGCTGCAGCTATGCTGGACATCCAGCTGCCTTCCAGGCCTGCTGTTGCCCCTCAAGCCCTTGTGGTGTGGGTGGCCTGTGCACTGGTCTGGCAGGCTGTCCATCTCTTCTGCTTGCTGAGATGTGCTGAC